TATATATATATATATATATATATACCTACATTATTAATCGCTATAAACTCGATATTTTCAGAATCATTACAAGAGTTAAGAGAGCGCAATCAACACCTGACCGATAAAAGGATTCCAGCTGACAAACGCAACAGCATGACACCACTTGGGAACAATGAAAATAAAAAAAAAAAAAAAAAATATAAAAAGCTCTGGGTTACGTAAAGACGAAGCTGCTCTACGGGTATCATTTAAATATTGTTATAAGTGATCTATATTTTTTTGACGTAATTGTTGTCATATATATATATATATACACCACTTTATGATTAAAACTTTGATAAACCGTTAAGAATTTTGATCTCCATTTTGTCTCAATTCACAGCGGATTTACTTATAAAATTTAAAATAATTACGGAAAATGAAATTTTTAATCTTAATTTTACAAAATTTTGAATTAATATTTAATACTAAAAAATAATATCGTAATACTATAATTTGGAATCATTTTATTGATGTTATTGAACTTTATAAATTTTGAACTTAATTAATATTTAGATAGTTGTATAAGAATTATCTAATATAAATTTTATTAGTAAACCCTCGTTGCAACATAACAAAATAGAAACAAATACAGTTTGACGAGTAAATTTTTAAATTTCTTACACAAAAAAGAATGACATAAACAATTTCAATTATTGGTAATCAGTCCATTAATTTAATGAAAATTTTAGAAAATAATGAAAAGTGCAGAACATCTAGCAGACGCAAGTGGAGACAACTTTTTTAATGACCTAAATCTGGATGATCCCAGCAATAAAAATAACTTAGATGGTAGTGAGGAAGAACCTAGTTCGGGCCTACCAAATAACGCAGATGAAACTCCATTACAGTCTACACAATATGAAATTTCTCCGCAACTTAGTCCTGAACATACTTCTGATGAGGAAGTTCAAGAAAACGAGCAAATAAAACCTCAGTTGAATTCTTATACAAACGTTCTCAAAGAAGTTGGTAATTTAACTCGCCAAATTACGAAGTGCGAAAAAAACATGAAAATCATGGAAAACTCAATGGTGACAAAGGAAATTCTTGATGAAACTATTAACAATGCTCTAAGTCGTTACTCAGCAGTTTCAAAAGAAAATCAACCCTCTTTCGAAGATCCTGATTTTGATATAGATGGCAAGGTAGTGTGTGGAAAATAAGTTATTGTTAAGGAAAAATTTTAATTTACACTCAAAACATGAAAATTTTGGAAAAAATAAAATAAACTACATGTAACAGCACGAATAGCTTCATAAGTTTATAAAAAATATTGTTTAAAACTTTTAATTTGTGGATAATTCAGCGATGGCTTGACGAATTGTTTTTACTTTTTAGTTTATTTTGCTTTCAACTGATGTTTTTTTATTTAGTTTTTAAACTGTATTCTTTAAGTTTCTTGAATAAAAATTTAATTCAGTATAATCATTTGACATCTAATATATTATGACTTTTGTAGGTAACCATTCTGGAGGACTATAAAATGGGCTTTAATGATTTTAATGAAGCTTTAAACGCTACATCCAACTGTCGCAGGGCAAAAAAAATAATGAGAACTATGTGGACTACAGAACAGAAAAAAAACATGCGAGTCAAATTTGATCGTAAGAAGCCTGACGCCACTATAGTTAAAGAGCGAGCTTATATCAAAATACTTCGTAAGTGTGATTTGTCAAAAATTTTTAATCAGAACTAGTCAAATTACATTTTATACTAATAAATCTTATTTTCTTTCTTTAGAAATTATATAGACGGAGGGAACCTAGTATCACAGCCTTCTGCATCCTGACTGCCAAGAACTCAGCTTTTGATGAGCAAGCTGGAACTCTGGCAAGTGAGGATACAAAAGACTGTTTCATCCCTCCAAGGACGCCAACAATCAGAACGACAAGCTTGACACGGTAACCTGGGTAAAGTTTGCCAATTTCAAACAGGAGATCCTGATATATTTGTCTTTTGTGCTCTTCTTTGACTGAGATGTTGTATTCAGCCGGGGCCAAAAACTCTATGACATAAATGTCACGAGTAGCCTTATCGAAGAGCACAATATCAGGTTTGTAGTGATCTATCCGCCGGGTTGTTGCAAATGGCATCTTCCAATAGATTTTGCAACTGTCATTCTCAACAACCTGGGAAATATCTCCTGGCAGATAAGGCAGCACTGGTGTCACATCAATACCGTAGCAATGACGAAGATAATAGTACAAGATAATATACAACTCCGGTTATGTGCAATGCGTTTCCACTTCCAATGTGAAAACGCGTTCGCCAGAGCTCCATTGTACGCCGAATGCATTCCACTATTTCAGGATTGACCCCTAGGCACTTGAGGAGATATAGGATCAACTCGTGAGGAGTTGAGTCAAATGCCTTGCGATAGTCGATCCAGGCCATTGAAAGGTTGCGTTGATAGTAGATCGCATCTTGTATGACACATCGATCAACTATCAAGTTCTCCTTGCAACCTGACAGGCCTCTTTTGCTGCCACGCTATTCATATATCTGTTGCCATACAGGTTCTACCTCCTGCAAAATACGGTTGTTTAAAATTTTCGTAAAAATTTTATAAACAGCATTCAAGCAGGTGATAGGCCTGTAATTCATTGGGTCAGACAAGTCACCTTTTTTAGGTATAAGTACGGTTTGCCCTTCCACGAGCCAGTCTGGAATATTATTATTATTATTATTATTATTATTATTATTATTATTATT